GGCTCTTCCAAGTGTCTGACCTTTTCCAACCTGGTACTGGAGAATTTGGAGCCAAAGTCAGCCCCCTCCCCTGCTTTCCTGCTTAGGTTCCTACTGTCTGGGTGCCCCTTTCCTTGTTATTGACATTCATCTTTTGACAGGTTGAAGTTCCTGCAGCTCCAGAACCTCAGATATAGGGTACTAGGTACCTTTACTGGGGATTTGATCTCCTGGTAAAGCGAGGGTGTGTTGGAGTAGCAAAAGCAATAAAATAAGAATCAATATGACCCCAGGATTTGGAACTGGCTCTCCTAGTGGATTGGACAAACTATCCAGACTCCATGTGCCTCTGTTTTCTCACATTGGTTACAACAAACTGACCTCACAGAGTATTGAAAGAATACCAATAATAATTAAGAAAGCATTTAAAAATATATGATATGATTAAAAAGCTGTGAATGTCTGCAAATGGCCCTAGAGTGCTTTTATAGCCGGACCTGACATGTTCTCATTTTGAGCCATTTTTGTCTAATGCTGTGTCCTTTTCCTTCAATTTTTGCCACTGGTCCTTGGTTTTCCTTGTTTGTACTTGATCTTAAGCATCCACACTTTGGATTCCCCCTGTGGTTTCTGGCTTGCCAGAATCTCTGCCTCTCCTTTCCTCAGGCTGTTTCTGTTAGGAATCGTTTGCTTCCATTTCTGCCCGGTGAAATGCAAACCTCACTCCAGAAATTGTATCAACATTCAGGCTGAACAATCCCAGGCATCCTAGAAAAGGGGTTCAAGTGTGTTTTTAAAGGATTACATAATCTTGGATTCTTCTCAGTAAAATTATGCAATGATTCTTCATAACCTTCAACATAAAATCCAAATTTCCTGATCTCAAACATTGTTTGGGTCCTTACAATACCAAGCCCCCAGGTATCAGCTGCCCACACTTTTTATATTACACAGTAAGAAAATATTACATTGGATATTTTACTCTACTTTGAAACTTCTCAGAAAAATACAGCTATTATTATATAAATCAGTAGTTGGCTGTTTATTGGGGGGAAGGTTGGAGAAAAAAATTTGAGTAAATATCTTAATGTTACATATATATCAGTACTTCAATTAGCAAGCCATTTGAAAAATCAGTACTTTACATATCTTATACATACTGATTTAAAAATCTCTGAATTATACATATCTAGATTACATCTACTGTTTAATCAATTGGACACTTACAAATAATGGGTAAATGATTTGTTGTTATATGGAGTTGAGCTCTGTTTCTCATGCAGTGAGAATAGCGTTCTTATTTTTACATGCAATTGATTGTAAACTTTGGGGTGATCTAATTTCAAGGAAGCTAAGTATCAGTTAGCTGTGTCAGTGCCTTCTGTCTCCCTTGCCAAGCCATAGCTGTATGCTAAGCTCTTGTGCACTGTGTTACATAATCCCCTGCATTCATCTTCTCTAGCTATTTAGTCTGAATACATACAAGGTGACTGCATTGTCTTTTCAACCTCCTTTTCAGTCTCAACACCATGATAAAAAAATAGATTTGGGGCACTATTACATTTTTTTTTCTAATGGAGGGTTTGGAGAATTGAATGGGTTTAGAAATGTGTACCTGTCATTATATGGTTTTCCCCTTTTGGTTATGTTGACTGTCAACTTAGTATGGTTTTCAAAGTGATAAGAAAGTGCCTGAGGCTCAGCTGCTTGAAGGAAATTGAGATAGGTTGGGATCTTCGGAGAAAAAGTATGTCAGATGTGAGTGCCCAAAAGAATAATTTCTTCAAGGTCTTTCTTCTTTCTCCCTTGTAGCCCTTTATTTATTTCCTGAGACTGGGTCCTGCCTTGCTGGGTCTCTCTTCCTAATACTCAGGAGGAAATTATCCCAGAAATTAAAAAGGAAATAAGTTTGCTCATCTAAAATGTGAATCAGAGAGGACTTTTCAGTTGTTTATCATTTGTTAAGAAAACTAAGGAAGGAGAGCTCCTGGTAGGAAATGCCTGGTCATCTCTGGCCCAGGGAACAGATAAACTGAGAAAATGAATCATTGAATGGAGAGATTAAGAAGGCTGTGAACTGTTGTAGCTATTTCTATTAGATACTTGCAAAGGAAGGCACTTGGCTACATAAAATTTTCTTTGGTATATTTGCATGGATATTAGCATAAATATGCATGTAATTTGCATAGACAGTTTCCTTTCTTCATTGTTCTTTTTAATATCTTATTTATTTATTGTGATATCCTCCTCTTTGTTGATGTCATTTATTTTTTCCTATAATCTTCCATATAAAACAAGTTCTTTTATTTTAAACACAGAGGGAAAGGGAAATATTTCTTATGGTGAGGAAGTGTGATTTATACAGGAAGAGAGGCATTTATTTCTGGCTTCATTTATCCAAGCTCTCAGATAGTTTGTAAGCCCACGGCTCCGTGGAATCATTCACACATAGCCTTGGAGAAGTAGAATGGGAGCAAGGGAATATCCAGAGTGATGGTGGAGGGACCCGTAACTGCTGTTTAGATGTAAGTCCAGAGATGCTTCAAGTCTGGAGTACCACAAACTAACTGGGTCATCTCGGGCAACTCATTCCCAGTCATCAATTTCTTCCTTAATAAAATAAAAGCATTAAATTAGACAATCCTTAAAATCCCTTGTAACACTAAAATTTATTATTTTGACATACCCCATGCTCTAATTATGTGAAAAATATTAAGCATCACATAGCACATTAAATAATCTCCTGATGCCTTGCTGTTTTGTGTCAAGCCTTCCCTTTTCAAGAGGCTCGATGATTAATGTAAGCTTCTCTTCATAGGCACTCCTCTCCTTGCGCATTTACTTCAGTGGGCGCAGACACACAGGTGTAACTGAGATATATATAGAAGATGACCACCAGTATACCTTTTGTAGTATTAAGGATGCACATAGACTCTGTGCAAGTCCATGACTCTAGGAAAAGAGCTTAGCTGTGATAACTGCATTAATTTGTCATGTACTCTAGTTCAGCTCCAGGTCTGATGTCCCATTGCATTTTAACAAAGCCATTTCTTAAGAAATGAGAGGAGAGATCACGATGATAGACAGGGTAGTAGAGGATTAGATGGATCTATTTCAAATATGCAGACGGTGTTGAATTTCTGCTTTATGATTGGGGGTGCTATTTTTGATAAAACACATTAGACTTGAGTTAGGTGCTAAGTAGTACTTGTTCTTGAATACATGGAGAAGCTAGACTGCAGTCAGTTAGAGGTAAATAGGCCCCTTTGCTTATGCCAGTGTATGTGTGTGTATAAACAGAGTATGCAGGTAAGTACCACTGAGATCCTCTGGAACATGCAGAAGAAATTCATCTTCTTTTTTAACCCTCTGGAGTATGAAGTTGAGGTCCATGTATTAATGGTGTCATGATACCATGATTAATTTAACAATATGTAGTGAGTGGTTGTATAAGAGTGATTGCAGTTCTTACTTTGTGATGAGAAAATATGTATTTTATTTTTCTTAAGTATTTGATGTAGGGCTGTGATGGTTGATAGGGATCTGAGCTGAGGGAACTTGGCTTTGGTTAATAGTACTGAAATGTAGTTCTGGCAGGGAAAATAGAATTCTTTCAACCTCACTTTGCAGATGGAAATCTGCATATGTAGACTTCTATTGTTGCTATTTCTTTTTTCCATTAACAAGGTGCTTCTTGATAGCTTTTGACCAACCTTAGTATGAAGTAGTGAACCTAAGTGAGGCTACCCAGCAAGAAGGGAAATTGTACTTCCTGTTCTGTATAACAAAATTATAAGTCAAATAAACAAATGATTAATCATATCCCTATTCTCTTACTTTGTCAAATTTACTTTTGTAACTCCCTGGAAGACCAGGTTCCAGAAATGGGAACTTTTGGATTCTTCAGAGTTTTGCTTATAAGAAATAGCATTGCAAGGAGAATCAGTCTCCTCTTGCTCCTCAGTCAGTTGGCTACCCACCTTCCCTTCCCACCTTTAGCTCTGTCCTTTATCACAAGGGGTCTAGTCAAAAATGCATGTGGATAACCCAGCCTACATGATCAAACCCCATCCACACTCTTGCAAATAGTCTCCCACATCTCCCCTTATAAACCTTGAGGTATTGATGTTGGTACCCTGGTATACCTACAGAAAGATGAAGCCAGAGAAGAGGCCTATATAAACAGGCTTGGGGATTTGGAGGCTGAGAATTACAGGGTCTCAGTGTCTGAAATGTGATCTCAAAAGAGAGTATAGGTTCCCTTGAAATGCCATCTATGAACCCCTAATTTTGGAGGAGGGTTGTGGCCATGGAAATGTCCAGCCAGGGCCCTCTAAAAGGAGATCCCCGAACAAGCAGAAATTCCTTTTGCTTGAGTCTAAGAGTGGTATTGCTGTCTTACTAAAGAATATTAACAATTTCATTCTCTTCCCCTTTCCTCAACTGCCTGGTCCCCTTCTCATGTTCAACCTCCTATATAATAACTCAGCCACAACTCACTGGGCTCAGGATTTTACCATAGAAACCAAAGTTAGCTGGGTTTATTGATAGATGGAAGCCAGGGCCAAATCTTTCAGGGTAATTGATTTTTAGTTATTGGTCAATAAAAAGTACCTAGAGCTAGAGAGTCCTTTGTCAGCACAGTTAATTATCTATTCTAAACCAGCTCTTCTACAAGCATTTAAAAGCCATCACTGAAGCAAAAGCAATGTAAGCCTCACTTGACTACTTTGCATGAAATTTCTCTTTAGGTGTTTCTTTGAGAAGATTGGAAGGGAAGGCAGCAAGCCCCCTTGCACCATCTTGCCTGTCTTCTACCCTTGTTTTGACACACAGTTTCTCCCCCACCAGATGCTCTGCTAGGTTTGCTGATTTTCATGTAGAAGCCAGGGCGGTTGCTGAGTTGGTATCAGTGCAAGGACAGGGGTTAGTGTTCTTGGGCTGTGTTCTCCTTGGTGGTTGCATAGATCCGACACCTGCCAGTTAAGGATTGACTGCTTTCTGCTTTTTGTTTCCGACAGCCCGAGAGGAGAATGTGGCCACTTTCCGAGGCTCAGAATACCTGTGCTACGACCTGTCTCAGAACCCGATCCAGAGCAGCAGTGATGAAATCACCCTCTCCTTCAAGACCTGGCAGCGCAACGGGCTCATCCTACACACGGGCAAGTCGGCTGACTATGTCAACCTGGCTCTGAAGGATGGTGCGGTCTCCTTGGTCATTAACCTGGGGTCCGGGGCCTTTGAGGCCATTGTGGAGCCAGTGAATGGGAAGTTCAACGACAACGCCTGGCATGATGTCAAAGTGACACGCAACCTCCGGCAGGTAATGGCTGAGGGGAGAGAGTGCCTGGAAGGCCCATCTTAGATAGAACGTTTGTGAAGCAGGTGACTGGTGAGGTGCAGAGGGGTAGAGATGTGGGTTTGGATATATTAAAAACTAACTTTTTTCCAGTCTTTGCAATTCCACGAGGAAAACGATTACAATATGTTTCTCCCGAGTCTTCAATTCTCCATTTGTTCTTGTTATTTTAAAAAAAATAGTTGTACAGATAATAAAAATGATAAGTACTTTCATCCTTTTAATTCTGCTTTCCTTTTTATCATTTTCCTAATTACATTTGAATCTTATCATGCTATTGTTAAATTCAATTAGGGATAGCATTTTGTTTCTGCAGCTTGATGGATTTTCCTCATTCTTTGAATATGTTTTTCTTTTTAATTAAGTTAGCCATTGCCATGATGCCATCATTTTAATTTCCTCCAGAAAAAAACTTTTTTTTTCTCCCTCCTCCTTTTAATTTATCATCCCTACCCCCCCACCCCCCAGTTGTGACATTAATCTCTGGCTTTCAAATTAACTAGCTGGGATCTTTCTGAATTCCTGTTTCTCTGTTCCTTGATGCAATGTGGTGGTCCTACCTTTATTTGCCCTGTATCTACCTCCAAGACTCTTCAGTTGGAAGGCCTGGGAAGTGGAAAGACCCAAATAAAAATGTCAACCCTGGAGCAGCCTTCCTGACCCTGTCCGTGCTTTGAGAACTCCCATGGCTTGCCGATTCTAAGCAGGCCACTCCGTCAGGTGACGACGCTTTCAAAAAGCTTGAGTCAAGTGAAGATGTTTTCAGTGTCCTAACTGCTACTACTAATAACATTACCTTATCAGCAAACATCCATAAAAGACAAGCATTTCCTGTAAGAGTCAAGGTCTGTGCTGAGATCGCCTTTTCCTTGTTCCTCTTTTCACTTCCTTTTTTCTACTTGTGAATCTGTCAAACAAAACCCAGTTGGTCAGCATTCATCCTTTATTAATCAGAAAACATTATGTGCAAATTTCCAGAAAGTGCTTATCAAATTTTTCTCCAGCATTATGATTGATTTAATGCCTTCGAATGTAAACATGAAAGCAAAAGACATGACAGGTGTTTGCATATGTTTTCTGTCTGATAAAAGCGTGACTCCCAAGTAATGCTAAACAAATGGTGGAGGCTGGCACACATTGGAAAAGCACCATTGTCAAAATACTCTCCATTTCCATGTTTAGGTGTGTCAAGGAAGCCACCTAGTTGGGAGATTCCATTCTATCTGTGGTGAAGATGCTAATTAATGCAAGGCTTGGAATCCCCAATCCTCTTAATATATGTGAATTTGACTCTTTGGAGTCATTCTCCTGTGTTTTCCTTCCACGGCCAAAGAACCTATTGCTGATGTTTTCCTCCATAACTCTCTCCATAGTTACCCAGAAGAGAACTTCTCAACTGTCAAGAGAACATAAGCCAAATTTCTATTTGCTGACATAGAAGGACTTAATATGTCTGAGCTGTAGAGAATAGACCAAAAATGAAATATGACCTTTTGCCAGTTTTGATTGGCAGGTACAGAATAACACCCTTTAGTCATTAGTGGAGGGGAAACTTTTGATATACTGGGAACGGTATCAGGTCACAGTTCTCGCCAAGTCATTTGTCTCTCTCCACACACTTCCCAGCTATTCTAGAATAATTCCAGTCTGCCTGAGAAAGGCTCAGTTTTGTTTCTGCTAAAAATCACGGTTCTAAATAGCATCAGTCCCCAATTAAATCCTTTAAACCAGAGGGGATAAATCAGAGTTTAATTCAAATATTGGTTGTGATGTCTTAGAGCAATCTGAGGAAACCACCCTGGAAGGTTTGTGCTCTGCTCCAACGTCTAAGGCTCATCTCCTCTCTGTGCCCTTGGACAAGCCACTTAACCTCCCTGCAGCACAGTTTCCATTTGTAAAATGCTGATTGCAATGCTCCCCAGCCATGTGTGGTGGCTAAATATGCAAAGCACCTTATGTTCCAGAAGGATTATGAGCTCATCCATGGGCTGGGTGCTAGACTCGTGGTGACGTGTGGATGATTTACAGGCTGAGCATTCTGTCCCAGAGGTGACTGCTTCTCTCTGGTGCCAAGAATACAGTTAATAGAGCTCTTCATTTTGGACAAGGTCTAAGAGGTCCTGAGGTTCTGGGGTAATTCTTGACAGAGAGACTAGTACTCTTTTGTGAAAAAATACCCCTAAAATTGGACCTTGTTGAAATCCTGATTGTGTTTTGCATCCAAATACAATTTGTGGAAAGAAAGGAAAATCTCTGAAAAACAGAGTTGATCTTGCAAATAAAATCCTTCCAGGGCTGAGTAATATAAGATTATTATTTTTCCTATTAAAAAATATTTATAATATCTTTTTTGAGTTCTTTAGGACACAATTGAGTGGGAAGTCCCAGTCTATTTCGAATAGATTGTAAATAGCTTCATAAATATTTGATAACAAGCTTATGGCAGCCTCATGCACTTTTAGAAGTGAGAGCAAATGGCTTCTAAGGCAAAAATTTATATGAGGAAAATTTACATGGAGTTTTTTGAAGTATTCATTACCAAACAGGGAAGAATCTTCTCATTTCTTCCTTTGTGGACATCAATTCATGGTTCTGCCATTAAGGCAACTTAGAGCCAAACCATGTACTTTATTGGGGCTTCCTATTGAAAAAAGGAATGTGTAGTGTTCCTATCTGTTCTCTAAATTGAAACTGGAACTACAGACTGAGCTACTGGGACATTCATGTGCACATAGAAGAGGGTTTACCCTCTAACTTGCCTGAGTCCAAGGTCACACCCACACCATTAATCATTTTACCTCTGGGGGCCACTTTTGTTACACCTTGAATACAGAATCAGGGTTACAGTCTGCCATCCTTCTAACCTCTGAGCTCAGGGTGTGCTGGCAACTTAGCAATTGAAATGAGCAAAAAGAGTCTAATTGTGGGTTCTCTAACCATATTGAACCTGCCTTACTCCCTGCTCTCCATGCAAGAAACTGCTTAACAACATGAAAAGGTGTATTCATGTATTCAGGGGGAATAAGGGATAGTGATTCCAACAGGATAGCATCTATAAAGTAAACAAGATGATGCCCTCACTGGATAATAAACAAGACTAACATTTCTGATGCGTTCTATTGACGGTTATCTGAAACTGAGAGTAAAGGAAAAAGGAGAACATTCCCCTCCAGCTGCTTAAACCTGCAAAAAGCAAGGGGGCCATGGATCTTTAAGTTACCTAGAGAACCTAGTATATGCCGTGCCAAGGAACTTTCTCTGCTAGGTTAGGTCTGTGAATGTTTAAATTACTTGTAGGAGAATGTCATCCTGTAGTCTATCCACGTAATCAGATTCATGTGAAAAAGCAAAAACCAAACACCAATATATTGGTATTCAGTTCTTTCTCTCTGTTTATCTACCAATGGAATGATAAGTTTTTTTGGTAAACTTTGATTCTTCAGACCAGGTGTGTGTGTATGAAGAATCAAAGTTTATCTAGATTCTTCATACACACACTAGAGGGTGGGCAGGGACCATAGGTGGTATTCAGAAGAGCCTTTGGGACGTAAGTATGAAGCTAACTCTAACAAGGGTGGGGTGTGGGCCAAGTGGTATCTGGGCAGTTGCTATGGCTGGTGAACCATAGCTCCCTTCCTGGCTGTGACCGGGTGGCAAGGTTTTCCATAGAGTCCTGGTCTCATTGTCTCCCCCACTCTCTCTTTCTGTGTTGGGTGCCTTTTTTTTGAAAAACTAACACAAGATCATTCATGCAATGTGTCATTTACTAACCGACTAATGTACTAACACCCTAACGACTCATCTTTGTTTTTAGTTTTTTTAATTAACAATCGTTCTGTTCACAATTTTTAATTTCCTTTCTTCCCCCTTCTCCGCAAAGCACTCAGGCATCGGACACGCTATGGTAAACAAACTACATTGTCTGGTAGATATCATTCTTATTGTCTCTTTTTTTGGGTTTGCCGTGTGTTGCCCCCCTTTTCCTCCCCAAACCCCTCTTTTATCCTCTTTAGACTTATTTCTTCTTTTTTTAAAATTTTGTTTTGTTAAATTAAATGCAAGCCTTTCTTTTTCTTAAAAAAAAATAATAATGGAAGGGGAAACCCCTGTCTTGGAAATGCTATTTGATGGAATTTGGTGGGGACTGTTTTTCCCTTCCTCCACTTTTTAGGTTGTTTTTTTTTTCCCTAGAAGTATTTTTTATTTTTAATTATTTATTTATTTATTTTTTGGTAAAGAATTTCTCCATTTAGTTAAATTTTTATTTTGTTTTCTTATTTTGCAACTTCCAAGTTATGGACGAGGGACAACTGAGATTTCTAGTGAGAACTTTTCTGCTCTCCGTGTCTTCCTCTCCCTCTCTTCCTCCTTCCTTTTTCTCTCCTCCCCACTCCTTAATCCCTTCTCTCTTGCCCTTTTGTGTGGCCATGGCCACCACAGGTGATCTGGGGAGGAAAGTACTCTGCCTCCTAGACTCTTCCTTTCCCTTCTCTTACCTGTTCCCCACTGTGGCCAAAGGGAGCTCTGCCAGTTGTGTTCTCCATACAAACTCTGCATGGCATGGTCCTGTCTCGTGGAATCCCATCGGCAACAGAATTTGTTTCTCATTTTCCTCCTCATTACTAACAACCTACTGACCATCAACCTCATGCCACTTTCTTCTCTTTTCTTCCCTCCCTATTTTCATTCTCTCATTCTTCATATATTTTGGGGTTGGGTTTGGACTTTTTCTTTTCTTTTTTCTTCCTTTTCTTTCTTTCTTTCTTTTTTTAAGTGAGGGAGGTGGCAGGCAGGGGAAAGATGATTTCCCTTTAGTTTTCAGTGTTTTCTCCCCCCGCCCCCACTTCATCTTGTTTGTTTTTTTTTTTTTCTGTTTGTTCAGTGCATGCAAGTGTGAAGTGGATTTTAATTCCTTTATTTCTCTCCACCCTTTCCCACATCCCTACTTTTGTTTTTCTGCCTTCTCTCTTGGCTCCAGATAATTTCCGCATGGGTGTGGCAGCGTATGGTGTATAAACGCTTTGGGTGCCATCTTTCTCTGCCCTCTGCTCCTTTCGTGGATGTTGGGTGTGTGGGTGCTATATTTTCCCCATGGGCATTATTATTTTGGTTATCATGCCTCACCATTCCTTTCTTTTTGTTAGAGTTGGCTTTTTGGTTTGGGTCATTTCTTCTGTTGGTGGTGGTGATGGCAGAGGAGGGAGGGCAGGGGTTGGTTATCCTGGGGTACTCCATGGCATGCATCATCCCTGACACATCAAAACAGAGACCCTCTTTTTTTTCCCCTTTCTGAATGCATGTTTGTCAGTGTGGTGTGAGCCAAAAAAGAAACAAATAAAAAAGAAAAGAAAAAAGGAAAAAAAAAAACAAAAGCATCCACAACCAAAGACCAACCCCTAACAAACCTCATTGTCTAATGTCTCCTTTGCTGTTTTCCATTACCACCATGAATAACAATCATCTTAAAAAAAAATAAAGATCATTAGTAATGAAACTGAGACAAGTGATATCGTCTGAGGATGGTTCCATTTTCTAGCCTGAATAAAGTGTGCAATGGGTAGAACAAGGTGCTCCGCTTGGCAATTGTAGCCAATCTCCCATGGGTCTGCAGGGGAATACTGTAGGCTTGGGACAGAGGGAGGCAGACCAGAAAATGGAACTTAGCTGCACATACCCAAAATCAAACCAAATTAGAACGAATACCTTACTAAAAATCTTAATAAAAGTGATGCCACAAATAGGGGAAGCCATTAGGTTTTGATAGGACTGTATGGTCATTGCTGGGATTTTTTTTTGTCCCTATGTCCTACCACCAGGTGACAATCTCTGTGGATGGCATTCTTACCACGACGGGCTATACGCAGGAAGACTACACTATGCTGGGCTCAGATGATTTCTTCTACGTGGGAGGAAGCCCAAGTACAGCTGACTTGCCAGGCTCACCTGTGAGCAACAACTTCATGGGCTGCCTTAAGGAGGTAAAATCCACACAACTCTATTTATTATGTGCTGTGCAACTGTTTAAGAATGAATGAGATTTCTAGATCAATGACTGCACCTGTCATTTAATCTTCTATGAGATGAGAGGTTGAGGCAGAAAAGACACTGGACTGGGAAGCAGGGGTCCTGCCTTTTCATCCTGGCTTAAACTGCTTGGATGACTTTGGGTTTGCCACTTGAATGCTCTGTGGCTCTGTTTCCTCATCTAACTAACAGAGAATCTTATCCCATAAGTGGTTGTGCCTTATACGTTAAATGCAGTAACACAGATGAAAGGTCTGTGAAATCACAAGGAACTAGACGTGTGAAGTTTGATTTTGTGCTTTTCACTTGGCAGGTAGAGATTCTGTAGCTAAAAGTGGTTCAATTTGTGGCTGTGTGCTTTCCCCAAAATATAACATATGCATTATTTTACCTTCCCCAAGTCTGGCATTCCCAAGCGTCTCATTATTTGAGATGAAGGAAAATTCTCAGAATGTAACATTAAGGCTCAAAAAACTGGCTTTTCTGTCTTTTCTTTTCTTTCCTGAAAGCTCATAGCAATAGCTGTGAGAAAGCAGTGAGGCTTTGCCATTACTCATTTATTACCGTTGTAGCTGATGTGTTGAGACCTCTGTCTGAGAGCAAAGGAGCTTCAGTCAAGTGTAAGTTCAATCTCTAAGGTCAATGTGGAGGCAAAAAGAATCAGACTTGATTTGGTAGAGTTCTTTCAGAAGACTGTGTCATCAGAGCGGTACACTGTACATTTTGTTTAATCTAAGCTAAGCCTGATGGCCTAAGATATCTATACCATTTCCCCAGGGAAATTCCTTGAAAAGCTAACAGTGTTCCTTCTTATAGATAAAGATCCCTTGTGACATCTTATGAGCTTCCTCTCAGGGCATATGGTTTATTCTTATTATGGGTATTTGAAGTTTGTCGAATAGCAGATATATATGAGGTGACACTGTACATGGGCTCATTCCTGCCACTGAACTGTGAGCCAGGTCAGGACAGGAATTGTGTCTGGTTTGTTTAGCACACAGGAGGTACACACTCAGGAATTACTGGATGGCCTAATTTATCAAATAAGCACTGATGTGCTTATTTAATGTGCTGTAACAAAACTGGATGGTTCTTCACAAGCCATGGTCTCCATGGTGGAAAACATTATAATCTAGGAAGAGAGATGAGATCAGTAAGTGAATAATTACAGCGTAAGACACCATGTGTTCGGTGCCACAGACTAAATGCTCTGATTGAGTGGAGGAAAGAGATAAATTTTAGGTGGGAGTCAGTTTTAGAGAGGAAGTGACATTTGAGCTGAGCCTTGTTGCAATAAACCATGTGTGATTTTAGAGGAAGGGGTGGAAAGGAGAGAATGACAAAGGAGGGAGAAATCCAATTTTAGCTTTGTATTGTTCTCCATCTGAAGGACGAATTAAGAGGAGAATCCAAAGACTGCTTTCCTTTCTCAGCTTCTGCTGGCTTCAGGGACTCCACTGTCATTTCTGAAAAAATTATGGTAGGCATAGAGCGCATCTTCCCTGGGATTTACTCCTATTTCAATAGAATAAAGGTATAAACTACTCAATGTCTAACAAACCCTGAAAGGTTCTTAAACACTGTTAAATCACACTACCTTGGAATTGCACTTTCACCAGAAAAAAAAAAAATGGTTGCTACAGTCCCATTGCAGAGGACGGGGCTCAGAGTGAATGAAACATGGGGGCCACGTGAGGCTCGTTCACGGGAGAGTGCAGCAGCACTGAGCTGGGCATTTTCCTGGAGGGGATTTTGGATAACTTGGAAGGCTGAATTCCCCACTATACAGTAACATTGAATCATCCCTCAATTTTATGTTTTGAAGTAAATGATCCATGTCCCAATCCCAAATCTTTTATCAATTCATCAGGAAGGATGCCTCTGAACATTTTGAAACAAGACTCCGAAAAACACAAGATGTGTCTGAAAGCTTTATCCCTGTGGAACCTAGAGGAAATAAAATCTACACACACACACACACACACACACACACACACACACAGAGCTTAGGCTGAGAGCAGGAAGCTACAAAATTCTGTCAGAGGGGCTGGGATTGTGGCTCCGTGGTAGAGCGCTTGCCTAGCATGTGGGAGGCACTGGGTTCCATTCTCAGAACGGCATATAAATAAATAAAATAAAGGGTCCACCAACAACTAAAAATTATTTTTAAAAAGTCTGTCAGAAGTGTCATTTAATAGCTCAAAAGTTACAGCCTTTTCTGAAAATCAGTGTCCATAATAGAAATCGACCTTAATTAGTAATTTGAAAAATTCCCACCTTTTAGCTAACAGCACATGTCTGCATTTGAATTCAATGCAAGTTAGAAAAAGGAGTATTCAAAATATTGAAGGAAACATAGGCAAAAAATGAGAACTTCAAGTCCCGCAGATCTCTGCTTTACATTAGCAGCATGGCTGTCTTGGTGAGGGATGGGGGAGGGGAGAATCTTCTTTTGCCTGAGTGCTTGAGCATTACTTGAAGCCAAATGAAGTGCTGGCATATTATTTTTTTCCATTTTATCATTACAATTCATTCGTCTGTGAGCAAGTCTGGAAAATTCTCTTATTCTTAGTATTTATCTTTGACAAATTAATTGACAGATAGGGCTTCCAGTTGTGTTGGGATTTAGCTCCTGGATCAAGCCCACTTTCCCACCTGGACTATTTAACTCAGGACAGCCTCTCCTGTCGTTGTACAACGCTGTCGCTGTCTCCCTTTCCCTATCTCTCTTTCTGCCATTTTCTAGCCTCTCTTGCTGTGTGTCTGTACATTGCCCTGGGATGAACTGAGTGCTTTTAAGTGTCATGTCCATCAAGTTGGGGACATGGTGAAAGAATGGGATTTCTGTTTTATTCTGTTTCATTTGTCTGTAGTGTGAATAGGTTTTATCTTTGGAACTGTAGCTACTTTACTCCGCAATGGAACTAAAATAACCATGGATTTGACCCATGTACGCACATATTAACTATAACAGTGTCCAAGTTGTCATCAAACTATTGTGGTTCTCTGCACACCCTCACTACAACAGATTCATGTCCCCTGGAATACCACAAAGTCACCATCTGGTTTGTCTTCATGTTTTCCTGTTTTATTTTAACTGTCTTATTTTTGTTCTTGTTATGTCCTTAGTTCCCAAAATGGTTCCTGGTACTTAGCAGGCTTCAATAAATATTTGCTGAGTGAAATAACATGTTTATAAATTAATAAATATTTTTTTATTAGATAAATCCTCTTAGGCCCTACTGACCACTTAACTCTCCTGAGATGACTGAAGAACATCTTGTTGTGGCAATAGTTGAACTTTTCAAGACCCCCCCCCCACCTCAGTTATCTAATATGAGGGAAATATTACATATGGGCCTCAGCAAGGCTAAGAGAAATAGGTTGGAATCTTTTCTAGAAAGAACTGGATAGAAAAAACCTTTGAGGGAGGCATCATAATACAATGAAAAGAATATTTAGTTTAAAACCAAAGACTTGGGTAGAAATAGCAGTTTTATCATAGGCTATGTGTCCTGAGATAAGCCATTGATCTGTTATGTCTGTTTCTTAGCCTTTAATGTAGAGATCATAAGACCTCTGTTGCATGTTTCATAAGAACAAGGGAAATGACGTGCATAAGCCAAACAGCATTTATGATAATAGTTACTTGCTATAGTCATTACTAATGTTTATCTAATGTATCCTATAAACAGTTTATGAATACAATTGTAAATTAATACAAGAGCCTGCATATCTCTATATTTCCCATGTGAAAAGTCACTCTTAGGAAAAAAAAATAATTCTAAGGTTTGCCCAACTTTGCTTATATTTGCTAAAGTAAGGATCACTACCCACTCAGCCTCAGTCATTCCTTTGTTTATTGCCTTTGTTGTTCATGTGACACTGTCAACGTGCCTTTGTTAAAATGTGAACCCATGAGGACAAAGTCTGATCTAATTCAGTATTTCCCCAGCACCTGGAACCGTCATTGGCTTTAAAATATTGCACTCAGTAAGAAAGTCTGGAATAAATAATTGAGTGAATGAGCTAATCTCTTGGATCTCTAAAATCTGATGGCATTTAGATCAACAGTGCTTTATATCAGGTTGTTATGACAATGTATCATGGATTGGTTGGATTATAAAACACAAATGTATTTCCCATAGTTATGGAGGCTGCAAGTTTGAGATCAGGGTGCAGCATAGAAAGGACCTAGTGAGGACTTCCTCCTGTTTGTAGCTGCCACCTTCCTATTAGATCCTCACTTGGTGAAAGAGGGTCAGAGGGCTCTCAGGGTTCTCTTTTATGAGGGCACTAATCCTATCATGAGGGCTTCACCCCCATGATCTAGTGTTGAGAGCCACAACCAAGTCAAGATGGTGCCTGGCATTTTGCCAGAAGGAGTGGTTGAGAAGTAACGCCAGCGAGCCATTAAGATGACGATAATTAAGTTAAGCTGTGTATAATTATTAAGATAATGACTGATTGCTATAATTGGATGATGGTAAATTGAAACAAGCTGTGTATTCAGTTGTGTATATAAACCTCTGCTGTCCAGCAATAAGGCGGCTCCTGCTACCTCGGGTACCCGCTACTTTTGAGTTCTCACGGAGTTCCCGTTGAGTTTCTGTTGGTTCTCGCAGAGTTTCCATGGAGTTCTGGAGAGTTCCCGTTGGGTTCCTGTTTGAACCTACAAGTGGCTCGTGACCTCCCAGTTATTTTGTGCCCAGCCAGACTGTGGCAATCTAGTGCTTTCCCAAAAGGCCCAACTACAAGTATCATCATCTTGCTGTTAGGATTTAAATACATGAACTTTGGGGAGACCCAGATGTTTAATCCATGGAAATAGATAAATACTGAAATCAATCAACTTTCAAGGACTGTGCCAAGACACAAAGATAATGAGTCAAGTATAGTTCCTGCTTTAGAAGACCTTGTGCTTAGTAGAGGGAGACAGATGTAAGCAGGTAAT